AGAGTTTTATGTAAAGATTAAGTGTGCATCAAGAAAACATCCCAACCCAGTGCTACCCACGCCCACAAGTCCAATAGTCACCCATTAACCCATATGTCCAACACTATTCCACAAAGTCCTCCTCCATCTCACAAAGCAGACGCAATGATGCCGGCTGCTGAAGGAAAGCCAAGTCAGTGAACTTGTAAGCATCTCAGCGCTGGTAGGGGTCTCCACATGGGTGTTCCAGCACCCAGGGCTGCATCAGGGTAGGTCCATGTGGCTTCTCCTTGGGGATGTCTTGTAGGAAGTCAGCCTTGTTAGCTGAAGCAGGGAACTGCTAAAGCAGCTGCACCCTGGTGCGACCATCACAAAGCAAGAGACCGGAGAAATCCAAAGGCGAGCCTCACCACCCATTTATCCCTGTCTTTCAATTAATCTCACATGTGATCATCGGCCAGGGTGCCACAATAAACTAACTCACTCAGTTGGCATGAAGATGAAACTCCTTAAACTGGCTCAGGCCCCTTATCAGGTCAAAACATCCTCAAATGCGCTGTCATCAAGTAGATTCTGACTCATAGCGCCATCCTGCAGGTTAAGTGGAACTGCCCCTGTGGATATCTAACACTGTATCTCTTCGGGGGACTAGAAAGACGCATCTTTCTCCAATAGAGCGCTGGTAGTTTCGAACTGCTGACTTTGCAGTTACCGGTTGAACACAGAACCTACTACCCCACTGTGGCTTCCTATGCCATGCAGCCACAACTATTAACTTAAACTTATCCTAAAACCTAATCTTCACTGTTAGCGCCAAACATCTCTACGTATGACCTTCTCACACAACCAACACATGAAATGAATTCCTGCCTTCACACAAATCAGCCGGAAATTCACTCCAAAGCAACTCGGCCACACTGCTGATTCTGTCCTTTTCCGAAGCGCAGACAGCAGTTTGGTACTACTTCTTTGACAACAGGCAATTGATATCTGGCAGTGTCATTAGGTTTTGTTTTCCCCAGCAAGTTGTTATCTCCTTGAAGAGAGGAAAAATAGCTCTCAAGATGTTCCATGCCTATAAAAGAATGTCTTAAAAATTCAACAATTATATAATGAAGGCTACAACAAAATAGATGGAATTAGTCACTGCTAAACACAATGCATCAGTGAATGTGAAAATTTAACTGCACATGAGAATGACCTAGGATGCTACTTAAAAAAGCATAGATTTAGGCCCAATGTAGCGATTTGGTTGATCTTGGGTGAAAACAAACGAGCAAGCAAATAATTAAAGACCTGAAGGGAATTCTGATGCCTTTAGCATATAGGGCTAATTATGAACAACAGTGCCTTTGATTAAATTACAAAAGTAAATAAAGATAATACAAGTCTGAAAAAAGTGTGTGAAATTGAACACAATGCAGAAAGAACATCTGGCGTATTATAAACAAGTTACCATTATTAGCATGTTGTTTGTGACAGTCACAATCAAGCTAACAATTTCACCATATTAATCAAAGTTGCTTTTTCATTAAAACAGTTAATATTGGTACTCAGTGAATATTATTAATTTGTATTTAAACTATAAATGTAAGGATAGTTACTTAAAACAGAAAGTAAGAAAAATCACATTAATTTATCCCATACTGTTTTACAGTATTTTGATTATTTGGTGGCAAAGTGGTTGAGCACTAATCTGTTATCCAAAAGCGTGGCCCAGGAACACACCAGTCATTTCATTGGAGAAAGACGGTAGCCGTTTGCTTCGGTAAACTGCTTTGTGAGACCTACTCTACCCTATTGGGGTCACTGAGTGGAGATTGACTTATTAACAGCAATAGGGTCTATTCTAGGTTGTTCACTTCACTGAAACCAGATTACATTTTTAAAGCTTTTATTTTGTTGAGTTCTGCCTGTCACAAAGAGGAGCCCTGGTGGTGTCTTGGGTTATGCGTTGGACTGGTCACTGAAAGGTGAGCAGGTCAAAATCACCAGTGCTCCATCACCAGGCTTTCTACTCCGGTAAAGAGGCAATCCTGGAAACCTACAGGGGCCCGTCAACGCTGTCCTAGGGTCACAATGAGTCGCAATCAGCTTCATGGCAGTGAGTTTGGCTTTCGATAACTTTGGCAAAGGCATTTGCAAACTAAAACTTGCCCTCCTTCAATTTGTTAATCACAAAATAATTAAGTATCTAGGTATTTATACTTCCAGCTCCATCCAATTAATGGAGTAACAATTTCCACAACTTTACTTTCTAATGAACTGTGTTTCCTCCCTCTAATAAACCAACTTTTGTCTCTTCTAAAATCTCCAATTGGAGTGAATACGTCCTAATTTCAAACTGGCATAGATTGAAGTTAGTAGTTTCTTTGCCTATATTTGGCACTTTTGTGTAATTAGTTTGATGGTAATTTTAAACATTTCCTTTTTTCTATTATGTCCAATTTAGTTAAATTACATAATAGAGTAAAAGAAGTTTTGCTTGCCTTACTTTGGGGTTGGAGTTAAGGACTGGATGGCTAGCCTTAGTTATACCCTGTGAACTGTTTTATTTACAAAGTATTTTTAAATAGTTAATAAATATACACCAAAATTTTATTTTGGGGAGATTTTGTCTATTTAGCAATTTCTAATTACCTTTTGAAATTTCATATTGGGATACTGTATATGTAAGCTCACAGACAATGAACATTTTCCTTCCCTGTTCCTGTCTGCTGACATCTAGATGAGGTACTGGGGCAGGCCACTAGGGAGCGGCATGGAGTCTGTAGGCCTTGGGCAGCTTCACGGAAGGCACTAGCTTCCTCAGGGCTGTATTTACCCACAGGAACAGCCAAAATGCACCGTGGGATCTTGTGGGATCTGAGACTTAAAATGTTGATGCATATAGTGGAAAAAAACTCTTATCACATCTCATATTCACCTTACAGAATCTAAAAGATAGATGAAAAGCAGCATTTGCAAGGAAAATTGCCTCAGGACTATAATAGCAATGGAAAACCAGGATTACATGGCCAAGGAAGATCATTTTGAAAATTAAAAATAAATTAACTTTACCCCTCCAAACCCACAAGTACACGTAACACAACATGTTGGATTACCCAACAAGCAAAGTAAGCACAAACTTACTAGTTTTTACTTACTAGTTCATGGTGAACAATTTCACATTTTTGGACCATATCGAAGATTCTGTTTCTAGGTATGGCTGGCATCTGCCTTTCCCAAACTAACATCTTCCTACAGAATCAAAATCTCTTTTCAAATGTATAATTTCTGACAAAAAACAGAATACCCAGTAAGCAAGATAAGCCCAGGCTTAGTTATGCTTACTTGCTCATTTGTAATGAACAAGTTTCACATGTTTTATACCATGGCCTGTGGTACATAAGCACAAGTAAGCCCATCCTTACCTTGCTGATTGGTAATCCACCCCTGATATAGGCCCATGGACATATGCAAGAATGCATGCATCTAAGTACACACATATACACACACTCATTCCAGTCTGACAGCAGAGAGCGGCTCTCCCGGCTTATCACGTAACACTTCCTACTTCCCATTTTCTTACTGTAAATTAATGTTAAGTTGTCATAAGCAGTAGTGATCCACTGCCTTATTAAGTCATACTTTTAATAACTGGAATTTATAGCAACAGAAAGTGGAGAGATACGGCAAGATTCAAGACACTCAAGTTATAGGAAGTGTCCGTAGGTCCCAGGGTACATTTTTGAAGTATTTAAGGAGGGAACAACATTCCCATCACTACAATTATAGCAATGTAAGGACATGTATTGAAAACTATTTTCCATCCACATAATCGTACGCGCTCTGCAGGTCACTATCATTTTTTACTCAAGTTGTTCCTTCCCTGACAGCCTCCCCGCAATCACAAATGCCACTCTTTTAAAATGTTCTTCCAAAACATAAATACAAAAGCCATTTGTCAGATTTTTTAAAATGGTCTTCTCGCCCTTAAAGTGCATTTCAACTTAAACGTGTACAGGTAGTTTAGTTTCTAAGCTACCCTGGAATATGTTCATCATGCTGGTCAACTAGCAGTTGACAGAAAAACACCCCTGGCGCTTCTCCACTTGCCAGCAGTGGACATAAACCATGCAGTCGACTTCCAGCCAGGGGTGCTGCAAGGGTAGGGACAGGGATCGTCAGGAAAATGTTATGTGGAATACAGAACTTCCTCAGGAGTTCAGGAACTCCATCTCTCATGGGTATGCCTCCTGTGACCGTTAGCTCTTTTAGGAGAACAAGGGAGCGTTATCCTAAGTATGATAACTCTCTTTGGGAAGCCAGAATGCCCCATCTTTTAAAATAAAGATTTAAACACGCCTTATGGAAAAACAAAATAAAGCAAGAAACACAATTGTCAGTATGTTACGAGCAGACTTCACAAACTCAGAGTGCATGAGGCTGACAGTAGTCTTGCCCTCGTGACGATCTAAGCGACAATTGTCTCCTGTTACATCATAGGAGTCTGGCCACCTTCTCCAAGTACATTTCAAGTTGCAAGCCCTCACGCTGGGTTCGAACCAAAGCCTTTCTTTCACACGGTCTCTGCACTCGCGCAAGGTCTGCATGCTCCGCATGGAAGGAACAAACCCTCCAGAAAATAAACCGCGGTGGACCAGCCATCCCGGAGCCCCTTGCATCCCACGAGCCTGCCAGGGAAAGAGGTCCCGCCGCGGGGACTCGCGCCGCCCAGCCCGAGGCTTGAGACCCCTGCACGCAACCCCCAGGGGACACACCTCGGAAAGACACCACCTTTCTTACCACGCAGCCCCACGGGACCCTTCCCTCGTGTCACTCGCTTGTCCCTGCTCCCTTAGGGACAACTTTGTCATAAGATCGGGTCGGTTTGAAGCCCCGGAGGAGGAGGGCGAGAACTTTTCAGCGGAGCCCAGCAAGTCCACTGTGAGGCCACCGTAGACCCGGATGGCGTCCTACCCACCGGGGGGCAGGTTCCCGGGCCCAGGACCCCACGCCCGCCCCGGCCCGGGACCTACCTTGGCGTCGCCGGCGTCGGGCTCCTGGTCCGCCGAGCCCAGCTGGGGCTCCGAGGCGCGCCGACCCGGGAGCAGCGCGGCGGCGAGCAGGGAACACGCCAGAGAGAAGCAGCC